ATAATCCCACCATGCCCCTCCCCCACCTCTCATCATCCCACCAATCAGCAGCCTCCTCTCCTCTGTGTATCTCCAACATACGGCAGAGCGTTGTACAAGGGACGGGGGTGACAATAAAGTGAGCGGAAACCTTCTTTGCGTTCTCTATTCTTCTTCTTTGTTTGTGAATCTGTTACAAAGTTCCTCTCCTGGAGATCCCGCCAGTGAGATCACTTCCTGTTTCAAGCTGACAACACTGAGCCACTTCCTGCCAAATATTAAGTGTTGTCACCCGGCCGTGTTCTCCCTTCAAACCAACTGCTGCCGGGTCTATGACGCATAGAACCCAACTGACCAGCAATGTAACGGAGGTATATACACTGACCGCCAATGTAACGGAGGTATATACACTGACCGCCAATGTAACCGAGGTATATACACTGACCACCAATGTAACCGAGGTATATACACTGACCAGCAATGTAACCGAGGTATATACACTGACCAGCAATGTAACCGAGGTATATACACTGACCACCAATGTAACCGAGGTATATACACTGACCGCCAATGTAACCGAGGTATATACACTGACCAGCAATGTAACGGAGGTATATACACTGACCACCAATGTAACCGAGGTATATACACTGACCACCAATGTAACCGAGGTATATACACTGACCACCAATGTAACCGAGGTATATACACTGACCAGCAATGTAACCGAGGTATATACACTGACCAGCAATGTAACCGAGGTATATACACTGACCAGCAATGTAACGGAGGTATATACACTGACCACCAATGTAACCGAGGTATATACACTGACCAGCAATGTAACCGAGGTATATACACCTTGAAGTTTTCTGTGTAATTCCTTGTGCTTGTTGTTACATTGAATAATAATGAGGAGGAGGATGGGGATGATGCCGGGCTCAGAGGAGACGCCGCCATCTTTCTTATGAGAAGATTGACCCCAAGTGAAAAATGTGCCTCCCCCTCCAATATGGCGAAGAAAGGGGTACACAGCCCACAGGAAGGGGCCCGGCTTTCAGTAC